CCCTCCCCCCCCACCTGGCCATGCCCCTTCACCCCTCCCCCCCGCTGGGCTGACTCTGCCATCTTCTTTCAGGAGGGAAGGGGCAGCAGTCTGTCCCACAGCTCCGACGAGCTGCCCGGCCCCCGAGGGGAGGGGACTCTCCTGGATGAGGACGGGCTGCTCCTGGAAACCCCGACGTCCCACAGCTCAGGTGAAGCAGCACCACCTCTGCAGTTTGGGTACTGTTGGGGGAGAGTCACGTGCCACCACCTCCCACCAACCAAAGAGAAGAATTAGGGGGAGGAGCTACGGAGCTAGACAGGGTGGGGTCTGATGAGGGAAGTAGCCCAGGAGGGAAATGTGTAAGAGAAAAAGCTCAAGAAAATAAAATGCTGCTCGTCACATATTGATTACTGCCTGCAGAGTCAGTGCCTTCAGAGTCAGCATGTTCCGAGTCAGTGCCTCCAAACTCAATGCATTCAGAGTCAGTGCCTTCAAAGTCGGCATGTCACAGAGAGACACAGAGAGTAACAGCCCCCTCTGCTGGGTGCTCCTCTGCTTCTGGGTGGCGCTCTCAGTTCCAGGATGCCCCCTAAGCCTCATTCTCTTCCTTTTTACCCTCCCGCCAGAGTTCTTCCACCCTGTGGCCCCGGCCCCTCATGCTGGCCACAGCGGGGGGGGGACACCTTCACGGCGAGGGCACCAGCTGTCCTTACCGGCTTCCTGGGCCTCTCTCCGGTGCCCAGGTGCAAACAGTGGGCTACTGAGCACACAGGTGAGCGGCGGGTCACTACCGCCGGCACTTCAGGCGCCTCAGACCGTGGTGTAACTTCTCATCCTTCTGTCCTTTTCTGTCTGTTCTCCTTTTGCCTTCAGTACCCCTCCCACAGTGACTCCTCCCTGGCTACTGGAAGCTCAGAGGGCAGTCTGCAAACCACCCTAGAGGAAGGTCTAAGTTTCAGTATTTCACCCCCTCAAGACATTACCATGCCCCTACCTCGCATCAGTCCACTACCCGATGACCCCAACTGCTCCCCCGGAGAACCTCAGAGTCCCCTGGTACACCATTCGGTGGACACTCCAGTCGTAATTAACCTCCAAGACACAAGGGGGCACCAAAGAAGTCAAAGCAGTTGTGGGGAGAGCAACAGCCCTGGCCGTGAAAGAAAAGACTCTATTGATCCCTCTGATGAAGATCTTGGGATAGGGATTGGAGGGGGTGGATCTAGCCAGGCCTGTTACAGCGAACATTTATCAGAGACTCTGAGTAGCCTGTCTCTCACGTCTTTGCTTTCCCCAAGCTCACTGGCGCCACAGCTGGGGAAAAAATGCAACAGCACAGGTAGCCTGGATCAAGGGAATCTGTCAGCAAGGGGCAGGGAGGTCCGTGTCCTTTCTGGCTCGGACGCTCACGGCTACCTCTCCAGCCCCTGGACTGGAGAGAAGGGGGGCAGAGCAGGGGAGGGGGACATGGCGGAGTTTGATGTGAGAAGTACAAACCAGAACACAGTAGCAGCTTCTAGAAAAAAGAGATGAGGTCTCTCATTCCCAGTTTGTTTCCGAAGGTCCCCTCTCTTCCCTCTCCGTCACCAGAGGGCTGTTCAACTCAAAGTTCTCCTCCCTTTCATTTGTGACCCCTCTCATTACAAATTTCCCTGGGAACCTGAATAAAAAATATATATATATTTTGTTTCAAAGGCATTACAGGGATTGAAAAAGGGGGCAGATGTCCGTTGGTAGGATATTGCCTCCCATGCGAGACGGATGAGGACTCGCCGTGGAAAAAAAACCCAGCAGCACAAAGGAAAAGAACATTTTTTAAAAGGAGGGAGAAGCGGAAAATTCCCACTGGGCTTCCGGTGGTTGTGAAAGTCATAATGCAAAAAAAAAAATAAAACAGTTTTCAAATAAGTGCTTATATCACATCAATGGTGCAAGGATATGAACTGCTCAGCTCGGCAAGGCCACACCGGCTCTCCCATCGCAAGTGATGACGGATATTCTGGCTGCGGTGGGGTGGGGGGGGGGGGGGGGGGGGGGGGATGCCAGGAGCAGCACTCAGCTTAATTACGGTTCCCTTCCTTTTCTAGTAAGACAAAGGGAACGGCCTGGGACGGCAGAGTCAAAGGGGCGAGGGGGTCCACAGTGTGGGAGAGAGAGAAAGAGAGAGAGCTAAGATTGTGATAGCAGCTGCTGGAGCAACAGTGGAGGAGCTTCAGGAGAAGACTGGCGAGACAAGGACATGGATCCTGTTGCAATAAAATGACCTGCCAGATGGAGGCGCTGCAAGGATGAATGAAGGGACACTCGCCCTGGACGATGCATAACTACCTGCATTCTGGAAGTGCCAGGCAGAGAGGACTTGGGCGCAAGTGGGCTGCCCCTGCAAAAAGACATCACTCAGCAACGAACAAATTCACGCACACGTAGATGCAAGAAAACGTTAGTGTAGCTTTATTTTTAAATACAGATAGGAACGCGGAAGACAGTTACAGTGGTTTTTTTTATTACCGTCTCCCTGCAAATGGTGTCCCGTCTTCGGAACCTTTGTCAATGTGAGAGAAAGAGTAAAAAAATATATAATGAAGACAGAACCTTCTAGAAATGGTTTTGCGGACGAGCAGAGGAAGAGCAGCAAGGAGTTTCCGAAGAAGGCGCGTCTTTCATGGATTCCTGCAGCATCGCCCTGAAAACTACGTTTGGCTTGTTTCGTCCCTCACGTCTGGAACTGAGAATTTGTTAATTGTTAAAGGGTCATTTGCGCTGGGGTTATAATTATGTGTCTGACAGGCTGATCGTTAACGAGGTCTGTGGCCTCGTAAAAAAGGGGATTTTAATCTCTGGGTGAGTCTCTGGGTCGATATCACAGATTCCTTGTCCGTGTGTAGAGAATGACTGCCTGTTTTGGATGTCAGGTATGACTCCGTCCTGCAAACCTGCCCTGCACTTCCTCGTCTCCCTACTGACTGAGGATGACCTCTCCCAGCTCGCAGACGACACCGGCAGCTGTCGGTTGGATTAGGTTTTGTGTGTGATTGACCCCGGCTGACCCCTGCCATGCAGTCCTGCGTGGTTGACGTCCGTGCCCTTTGCGTGTGACCCGGCTCGCTGTGTTTCGCTCGTGTTTCAGGGTCCCGACCTACAGATCTGAATGACAAATTGAGACCTGAGAGTCAAAGCATTGACAGTCAAGGCTTTTGTTCGTGTGGTTCACTTGCCTCCAGCCAAGCAAAATTATGTGATTCCTGAGTCTTAGGAGTGCAGGGCATTGTGTTGGGAGGCCATGTTTGGCCATGTTTGTGTCTGACCAGTGTTCAGTATTATTCAGTATTATGTTGAGTACTCAGTTTGTAATTCTGTTATGTGTGCTATTAATTATACCACTGAGTACTCAGTCCATTATTCTGTTCAGTATTCTATTGGGTACTCAGTCCATTTTTCTGTTCAGTATTCTGTTGAGTACTCAGTTCATAATTTTTCCGTATTCCATTGAATACACAGTTCATTATTCTGTTCTGCATTCTCTTGAGTACTCGTTCATTATAATCGTTCACTATTCCCTTACATATTCCGTTGAGTACTCCATCTTGCCACCCTGCTCGGGAATGCTGCATGTGACTGCCATCCAGATTCATTAAGATTCATCCCATTTCATAGCTGTCAAAGGCGGACTTATCGAGTCCCGTGAGCTCAACCCACCTGCAGCATTTTAGTCAGGGGGGGAATTTCATGGCAGAAACTAAACGAACTGTAAGCTTGATCTATGGGACGAGGGAGGGCTAAGCGAGATGATTAAGCTTTAATTTGATTTTTTGACCAGAGAGCCCTTACCAAACCTCATTCCTGTGCAGTTCTCTGCTGACACGTGAGCATTTTGAGGACTGAGAGGAGTTGCCTGGTACTGACTGGCACGCTGCCTCACCTCCCCTGTATTCCACCCTCTGATAACCGAACCTGCAGCAAATTGCATACATTCCTCTTTTATCTGGGAAGATCATTTCAGGGGGGCGATTTGACAGATCTCCACATCTGCTCACCTATTCCCACCTTTGAAGGCTGCCAGCTGGTCATGTGGTTAATTACACCTGCAAATTAGCGGCAAATCCCCTCCACCTGAAGGTGCTCTGAGGCTTGGCTGATCAAGGCCGGGGTCCATGTAGCCTGTCCGGAGATCAAGGCTGGGAGAGACAGCTGGTGTGGAGCAGAGGATGCGGACGCCTGATAGGAGGTGCCGGAGAACGAGGGCCACATTTCAAAGGGACCCAGGCCTCAGCGTCCCTGAGCGTGAGCTGAGAGCGCAATGGCAGTCGGGGGACGAAAACACGGTAAAGGCCATTTACTGAGGTGGAGCAGCTCACAGGGTGAGAGGAAGTGCACACTGCGGGGTCTGCCCTGTGAAAGATGGAGGAGATGGAACCCCCTGCTGGTGAAGGTGGTATATCCAAGCTATACACCAAACAGCCATTAGCGGGGGGCACCATCTGGGTTGAGGGGGGCTAACGGCACACGACGTCGCTGCTGCAGTGATGTCACTTCACGAAAGCAGTTAGGTCATCCTCGCATTCGTGCTTCGGAGCTGAGTGACACCATGTGTAGTTCTGTTATTGTCACAGTAAACTGATACATAATACATGCATGCAATCACTGCCTAGAGTTTTAATCAGAACACAAACGAGTGCGACTGTAAGGTACAGACAGATGATTACAGCCCAGTGTATTAAAAATGAATCAATAGCTGTTTTGTCCATACTTTGACCTCAGTCCAATTTTACCTCCAGAAATCACAGATAAATTAAAGCATAAGACTATTCAGATGAGAAGGTTCTGAACGGACAGGAAAAGAGTCTGAGTCTGATTACAATGCAGTCAGGCTGATTACAATGCTTATTAACATATTTGGTTTTGCTGTGTGTCGGGTGGGGTAATGAATTTATTGCCCAGGCTTGTCCACTGGGTGTCTGTCACACATGCCAGTGGCACTCTGAGCCTCACACAGGCCAACTTGCTGCAGCAGACTCAGCTCGCATTAAATGCGACACATGGCTTTTCCTACACGGACTGGAGGGGTGGGGGGTGCAGGTCTGCCTGTGCTCTTGGGAGGGATTAAGACGCTGTGACTTTCCTGTGAATTTTCGCAGCAGCATATTAGCTGCTGAGACACACGACCTTTGGCTCCAGCCACGCCTGCCCATCAAGTGTTCGAGGCTTGGTCAGGAGTGCTGGGCTGTGTCACATGGTCCGGGTAGCAAGACTGGTTAAGTGAAGCCCGACCACGTTGGTCCTTAGATCCTCGAGCCGCACGCCCCTCACATCCCAGTGACGGAGACGAGGCTCTCATCCATGTGTGCTGACAGCTCATTGGTCGGTATGTCCAGCAGCCAATCACAGGTGGCCAGGTCGCCCGAACAGCCAATCAGGGTGCTCCTGTGAGAGGAAATGCTGTTTACTGTTGGTGGGTTCACGTAAGGCAGGCGCTGCCCTCCGTTACACATTAATCACCGCTAATTAAACCGACAGCTAGGAGTCGCTGGACTGAGCTGGGCCGTGTGGCAGGTGGTCTGTGCTGATTATTTAGTTGGCTCCACAAGGGCGTGCTGGTGAGGCATGTGTCTCGATTGGGGTTCAGCCTTTCACAGGTCAGTCTCACTGCTCCTGATACCAGGCGTACGATGCTGGGGGTGGTAATGGGGCTGGGGGGGGCCAGAGGGTGTCAGTCACGCCCACGACAAACGACCACCAGCACCTCCACATTCCCGTCTGCTTTGTTTATTACAGCATCTATGGCCTGACACTGGTTTGCCTGTGTCTGCACCTCCAAGGAAGCTACAGGACACGGTCCCTCATTTGCCTGAAGCTGTTAGAAGGATTCACACTGGTTAGAGGAATTTTGTATCGACATCTGTATAAAAAGTCTGATGTATGATCATTTGCTTAGACTGATGGCTCATCCGGTTGGCTGTGGTGGTGGGGGGGGGAGTTTTTAGGGACAGATGCTTGAAGGGGTCCCTCGATTAATTTTTGGGGCGCGTATCCTACTTGGGGGCTTGTTGGATCTCTGCAGAAAGGACCGAGCTTCTTTACGGGCTTTGTCAGAGCGCAGCAGCCCAATGGGACGAAGCAACAAAACAAAACCAAACTAAACAAAAGCCCAGGGTAAATCCTGTGTCCACACTCTGACACATATCGACATTGCAGTATATTCATTCCCAAATCCCCAACCCTTCTGAAATACAGTGGGCTGACTCGGTCATGTGTGACTGAATCCGCACTTAAGGGGGTGATGTGGCGATAGGGAGGGATTCCCATCTTCATCTCACCATGTAGTTTGCAGGTTTCTGCTGTTTGATATCTTTGTTTCAATGCATGTTTTTTTTTTTTGCCATCTTTGGCCCGTGGAAGCGTCCAGATCAAAACCACCTCGAACCATGTTAGTCAAGCCCTTTGGGAGAAAAATAGCAGCTGGTTTAATGCATAGAGCCATAATGCGGAAGCTTGTGTCAGACTGGAACCTGAATCCTCGACCGCAGTCTGATCTCCATTTCCGGGTCTTTCCGTTCTTCTCGACAGTCAGTCTCTCATTTTTTCCCGACTCTCCTGAACGGCCAGTTATATTTCTGTTCAGCAACTCATTAAAAACATTTTAAAACAGAGTAGAAATATCGATAAATATATAAATGTACACATATTTTCCTTTGTATAATATTGTGTCTATTGATTGATTTTGTTCTGTAAAACCAAACTAAAATTGTGCAATAATGAAAAACAATATAAAAACAGCAGCATCAGATGCCTGTAATTTAGTGTAAATATTGAGCCTTGTGGCAATAAGCTGTAGTATGAATGACCAATAGAGATGGAGTTTTGCCTTCCTTTCCCTGCCCCCAACCCGAATACATCTGCAGTCATCAGGTGCATTTCATTGTAAAATGTATTTATGAAATAAAATGTAAGATACCCATATTTATGACAGATGGCGTGTTATGTCTTTATTTCCCGTGCTG